TTCCCACCTGGGAGGAGGAGGAGGGCGCTTTGTCTTTAGCCCCAGGCTCGGGGCCTTCCTCACCTGCACCTTTTGGCCAGCAATCTCCGTGGGACTGTCCTGCCGAGGGGGAGGGTGCAGGTCGCCGTTGTTCACCACATACTGGATGAGGTTCGCGAGGGCTGCGCACGAGTCTGCGCAGGTGTGGACGTGGATGACGTTGTTGGAGCAGCGGAGCTCAAAAAGAGGCCGGGTCTGCGGCAAGGCAGAGACGAGGCGGGTTTTGTGCCACAGAAGCACCCTCTCTGCCCACCCCTGAGCTTCCATCCATCCGGGTGCGTCTGACAAAGCCTCTCACTTTCTCCCCGTTCTCAAGGCAGGGAGGGGAGAGAAACGGGGGCCCTGCCTCTGGCCTCATGGGGGGAAACCTCCCACCCAAGAAAGAGTCTTTCTGTGCTATGAAGCTGGCGCTGAAGGCACCTCACCCACACCTAGCAAACGGCACCACCACGTCCACGCCAGTCGTTTCGAAAAAACTCACCAGCTTCCCAGCCGTGGCTCCCTTCCACGTGGTGATCACCAGCTCCAGGAGGTCCACATCCACGACGCAAACATAATCTGAGGCCAAAAGAGAAGGGGGAAGCTGAACATACCTTTAGTCTGAAAGGCCGGTCTTTATTCTGAATTGCATCAGCTGTTGGCAAGTCCTAATTCAATCCATTTGACTAGTCCAGGATCTCTTGTCCTCCTCCTCCTCCTCGGTGACCTGGTGTGACCCCCTTTAGTGCCCCACTGTCACTGTACCCTGCAAACTGAGGCAGCCCTAATTTGAATCTGGTTGGAAGAAAAAGAGGATCAGAAGCAAGAGAGCCGGCAAGGCCCTTGCGCCGTCAGTCACCTTTCCTCAGGTCACCGGTCTCGCTGTCACATTTGTTGGAGAGGTAAAGAGCCGAGTCATCCAAAATGAACCTGAATGGGGGAAGAAGGAGACCAGTTAGTGCCTTCCTTCCCTGTTCCCAAGGTTTTTTAAAAAAGGCAAAAAATGAGTGTAAAAAATAAAGTTAGAATAGTGCTGAGGACCAAGAGTGCCCTATCATAAGCCCAAGCGTTTTCAAGACCAAAACTGAAACTCCCTCACCAATCTTTTCACATATTTCAAGGTATCCCACCCTAAATAAGCATTTTTGATATCTGCAGCCTGATTTAGGACAAGAGACACTGCTTTCTTGTAAGAAACTCAGCTCCATCGACGGCCAGTCATCGGAAGATCTACATGGCCGCTCCCAGTTGGCCTTCTCTCATTTTGACCCCTTGTGTGGCAATGAGAGGAGGCGTAATCCCGCACGTTTAAGGGGGCACCGGGTTGTCTGTCAGACAAGGGAAACCCAGACTGATGTGCCCACACTGTTAATTAACAAATTAAAGTATAGAATTGCAAAAGTGATCGTGCAGGCTCCAAAACCTTGATGCGCCAAGGGTGTCTGTCTTTGGAGAGACATGGGAAGAGGTGGTCAGGACCCACCGGAGAAGGAAGACCGAGGTGTCCACGATGATGTTGCTGGAGAGGGTGAAGGTCTCTGCGGTGATGAGAACACGGATGGGCAAGTAGAGGGGCCTGCGGGCAGAGAAGGCAAACCTCAGCGCGTCGGGGGGGGCGACGGAAAGATCAAGCACCGCCGCCCTTCTTGGGAAATCTTCAACCAGCGCTGGATCCCCTTAGCCTCTGCGTGTAGCAGGAAGAAGAAGTGGGCCCTGAGCAGCCCCCTCTCTGCCAGGGGTGGAGACGCCCTTGACAGAGGAGTCAGGCCCCTCCGAGGCCCCTCTCCGCATGGCTTCCTCCGGGCACAATTAAAAGCGCTGGCTCTAACCTACCGAGTCCTAAATGGCTCGAGACCAAGCTTTCTCAAGGACTCTCCCTCCCTCCAGGAGCCTGCCCAAAGGCTCAGATCACCAGGAGAGGCCTGTTCTCTTGCTCCCGCCACCTTCACAGGGGTGTCCTCTCCCATTATCCGAGCACCTCCCAGTCAGTCAGTGCAGGCAACCCCAACCTAGATGTGTAACTTCACACAGTGGAGCTGATTTCAATGTGCCCTCTGCTCAGAAACATGAGGACTAGATTCTTACATTCCTTTAATGGGGCAGGATCTCAACTCAGCAGCAGAGGGCTTCCTCTGCAGCCAGCAAGGGGTCCTGGCTTCAGTCCCTGCCATTCCAAGTTCAGGCTGGAAAAGCGGCTGCCAGCCAGTGTCCAGCAACACTAAGCGAATGGGCCCAAGGGACTGGCTCTCGGTTCCTTCGCATCCCTCTTGCCCTTCCTCTCTCCATACCTGTAATCCACAGCGCAGCTGAACAAGTGCGTGTGCAGCACCGTGATGATGGTGGGGGGCACAAAACCCAGGATGGGGTCATCCAGGACATCCAGGAAGTCAATGAGCTGGAAGAGGAAGACAGGGGAGGAGGGGTTGTAAGTGCACAGGCATGCTGTATGATCCACAGGCTCGGTCCTCACTGGCCACCCACCTGCGCCCGGGTACGCCGCTGTGTTCCAATCAACGCGTGGGCCTTTCTCCCTTTTCTCTTCGCTCTCGCTTGCCCCCCCCCCAGCAGAATGTAGCTCCTTTTCCACATGCCGTGGAACGCCTGTGACCGTCACACGACTGTGTGTGGGGGGGTGCGGGTGCATGCGGGCGCAGCAGCCCTCCTCACCTGTGAGTACCAGCTCTGATGGGCCAAGGCCATGGAATGGCGCAGGGTGGCCCCTTCCAGGCGCAATGTCACCAAGAATTCCTGCAACGAGATGAGCCCCCCAAAAAAGGCAGTGAAATCGAAGCTGGGATATTTGCTTGCCTGTGTGTTGGTCGCCTTTCTTTTCTGCTTTTCCTCCGGGGGGGGGGATCTCTTGGCTCTCTTTCCCCGCACTCCTCACAAAATCCCTCTGAGGTAGAGCAGGCTAAGAGACTGTGACTGGCCCAAGGATTCTAACCCCCCCAAATGAGTTTCATAGCCCAGCAGGAAGGTTTTGACCCCAACTCTCCTACCTCAGCATCGACCGCTCTCGACTCCTGCACCCGCTCTTCCCCCAACAGGCCTGCAGGGAGAGGTTGACTGGCCCACAGTCGCCTCTGGGGCCGAGGGAGAATGGGAACCGAGATCTTCCTGGCTTTTTTCCCCCAAGCCCCTCGCCCCCGTAACCACACGGCTGTTCGTTTCGGGGGGAGCGTGCCCTCCGTGTGAACGGAGAAGGCAGGTCATTTGAGGGCGCTCTCGGAGGGTGGGAGAAGGCAGGAGTGGCCAGCTCTGGCCGGCTGGAGGGAGGCTCCTTTTTCTGCTCCCAACCTCTTCTGGACTGTGCCAGGCTGGAAAATTGTCCCAAACGACTCCCCTCTCCTGGGCCCCGGCCATCAATCAACAGAAGGGATGAGACAGCCAAATCTCATTTTGATTTTTGGGGGTTGGAGGAGGTTGTTACTCCCCTTTATGCAAAAGCTTCCATTCCCAGAGGAGCCCAGGTTCAGAAAACATAATTTTTGCAGGGGGAAAAAAAAACACTGCTTGGAGGGGGGCTCCAGTGGATGGGTGGCCAGAGGCCTCAAAAATAGCTTTGGCCTTTGCTCTGCCCATCTGTGGGATACAGAATAAAACAGAACCCATTTCCCCCACAGGTCAGCACCAGACTAGCGAGCATCTCACAAGTGTCTCGCAAAGCAGGGCAGAAAGAACCACATTTTAAAACTCTCCCTCAAAGCCAGGTTACAAAGTTAGGAGCACCCAAACGCTCATCCTTCCCGAGCTATGGAGACGGGAATGTCCGCTCCCCAGCTACCTTGATGTTCTTTTCCAAATCCAGGTTGATCTGGATGGCCAGGGAGAGCATCTTCTGGGGCCCGTCCTTCTTGCTCCCCGGGGGCCAGGCGAGGTTGCCATCCTGCGAGGCATAAATGGTGGGGTGCAGCCCTTCGGGAGGTAAAAAGCTGGGGATTTCCAGCTGCTCGGGCATGAAATAGTCCTCCATGACAGCTGCAGAGAGAAGGGAGAGAAATCTGGTTAATACGTCTTCTTGATTATCACTTTTAAAGCATTTTTATCTTGATCCTCAGTTTAAAAAAAGTAATGTACACACGGTCTGTTTTTCAGAGGTGAAACACATTTAAGACAGGGGTGGGCAACTCAGGGACCCCTTCGCACTTCCCCCTCCCTCCGTCTTAAAATTCTTTTGAAAACCAATTGGCTCAAAATGCCTTCTGGGATGTGTGGGGCAATTCTGCCACGCTTTGTTGGCTTCCAGCAGCCCTGAGACTTTCCTCCTCTAGTTAAAAGATATAGACTTTTTTTGTTGGCTGCTGGAGGATGCAAGAGGCATTTTCATTTAAAACAAACAAACCCATTTTTTTGCAAGGAAAAAAATGGAGCGGGGGGGGAGGGGAAGCTGATGGGGCCATCCAGGGGCTGGTGTTTGCAAGCTCTGGATCCCTTGAGGTTGCCCGTCCTTGATATGAGGGATTCCGTTTCTACCAATATGCCAGTAGTGGCTCATTTTATCTCTAGCAGCACCATTTGCTGGCAAAATGATGTGGCAAAATGTGCCGTAGAAGAGGTGTCTCCTGCACTCAGCTTTGGGGGGAGAAATGGCCTCCAGGCCCCACACTGCCCACGCCGCCTCCTGGACAGGAACTGCCAGACAAAACCTCTGGGGGAGGTCAGGGAACTTCTCAGGCTTCTGCATCCCAAAGATG